TGAATAAGAAATAAAGGAAGGCTTTGAAATGACATTGTGACCTTGTACAGGGTCTAATCCCAGATCTTTGGCTCTGCTGTAGCCATGCTTTGGCATGTAACCTCGCTTAACAGCCCATTTGAGTCTCTGTCAGTGATGGGGGACTCAGGTGTCTGGATGACACCTACTGCAGTTTAAATGTCAGTGCCAGAGCAAGCTGGAGTGGGGACTGGGCAGCTCTTGTGCCCTTATGTGTGTGTACGAGGAGGGCAATAGCTTTTGGAGGCACCAGGCCTTCTAAACCCAGCAAGAAGGAAAGGCTGTGGTTCCCCATACCATCAGCAGCTGATTCTGTGTCTCCTGTGCACCCCAGTGCTCCGAAAGGATTTGTGTCCCTGAGTTATCTATGGGGCAGAGAGACTCCAGAAGTCTTGGGTCTTGCCATACAATATGGAAGAATTGGACTGGTTTCCAAGACTGGGAGCAGAGAGTGCTTACTGATTTGAGTTTTAACTTTGGTTTAAGTTAGTGTAGTGCCTAAGACATGTGCATGCCCTCTCAGCAGGGCAGAGTCCTCTGTTCCTGCCAGCAAGCAGCCGTGACTCTGGTAACAACTGGGCAGACTTGACCCGACGGCCCTGTTGGAGCTTGGTCTGAAGTGACAAACCTTTAAGGGAGCAGCAGAGTCACCGTCCCTGTGTGTTAGCTCCTGGCCTCTCAGCTGAGCCCACTCATTGTCAGGAGGCTTTGAAAGCCTGTGCTGAGGATCTTTCACAATGTCTCCTCTCTGTTATGGGCACGGCGTTTGAGGATCCCTGTACTTTTGGGTGCCACATTCCACTCAGTCTGTGTCCTGTAGCTTGGGCAGCTGACATTTTAGGAAAAAGGAGTAGCATTTTACTCTGCAAAAGGCAAAGGAAAGCTGTGTTGCTGGTCTTCATTGTGCTGGAGTCTTACGTGAAGCCAAGGTCCTTGTTGCGTTTAAGAAACATGTATTTGGTGTAACATCGTTTGTTAGTGCCATTTTTGTGTACAAAGTAGAGTCAGAGAATGTCTACCTTCTTAAAGACAGGGAAAATAAACATCTACGAGCAAGAGCTTTTAGGCTTCTAAGAATTTGCCTGGCATCCAGGCTGACTAACTCTCCTGTTCCTTTTTTTTTTGTTCTTTGTCATTAGGCTTCCTTGAACTTTAACTGAACCATAAGGAAACTATGAAGAGTCTCAATAGCTGCCCTGTGAGGATTTGACTTGCCCATTGGATCTGCTATTTATAGTGTCCATTAGTACAAAAATGTCTGGTTTTTTGCAGCAGTCATGTATAGCAAAAGCACTGCTCTTCTGGCAAACTGCCTATGTCTCCTGTGTCACCCAAAATATCCATCAACAGTGTTCAGAAGTGAGCCTTTCTCGATTAATAAAACTCAGCCAAACAAAAAAACCCAAACAACAAAACACTGAAACCCAGAGGCTATTTGTATTTTTATTTATTTACTTATTTTGCATAGCCTGCTATTGAAATTTCCATTTTTCGGAAGGCAACCTTCCACTCCCAGACATATCTTCCCATCGAACATAATCTTTGTCTCAAATTAAATCAGGAAGAGAGCTGAGAGGGTGTGAGCTGACTTCCAGCCTCAGAGAGCCCATTCACACCCCAGAACCAGGCTGGATGAGAACAAGGATAAATTCTGTAACAAAGGGGAGATAATTTTTTAATAGGAATTTGTCTTACCTTGCTCAGAGCTGGCTTGCAGTAGCTTGGGCGATGGAGAACATGTGACTGAGTGGGTTTCCTTTGGATATGCTCCAGGGTGATAGATCTGGTACACATTTGCATATTCTATATCTGAAAAATTAATTGGGGCCTTTTCTTAAAATTTTTATGTGAAAAGAAGCCTGAAAAATTGATTCTCCTAACAGTCTTCCTAATCGAGTCTTGATTCGTTCATCTGAGCTAACAATACAAACTTGACGACATTATTTTTGTCAGTAGTGTTGTGATTAGTAGATTTGTGGAAATTTTGACAGAAGGGTCACATATTACATCCTGCAGGTGTAAAGTGGAGGGGGCAGTTGACATGGGGGTCTTCTGGAGCTGTGGTACTCTGAAGTTCTGTGTTGTTCTCCATGCTCACCAAAGCTGCCAGGGCAATATTCTTTCCTGTTTTGAACGAGCAGAATCTGAACAGGGATCTACCGAGTAGCAAAGGACATTTCATGGCAAAGTGGTTTGTTTTCTACTCACATGTCCCACCCTCGCAAGGTGCTGCAGCACGCCGGCTGCATGGTGCGGCAGGGAAGAGGCCACCACGTGTCTGCAGGGGGAGGATGGGCCAAGCCGCAGGTTCATTTTCCCTGTTTTCCCTTGTATCACTTGTGCTTTGTGGTCTGCATGTGCCTCACAGCACAGGGAATTGTCAGGACCTATAATGGCCCCAAGGGACCATTTGTGTCCACTCCACCGCTCTGCAAGAGCAGCACCATGTGACAGGCTGGGAGGGCCCGGGAAGTCTCCGTTCTGTATTTCTCACAAGAGGAAGGAACTAAGAGGTTCTAAGAAGCACCCCCAGCATCCAGCATGTGTGGAGGAAGAGAAGTTTGAAAAGCCCCAAAAGAAGGTGGAGGCCTCTGGAAGGCAGCTGGGAAGATTGATGACCTTTAAATCAATAATCGCGGTCCATAGGGCTAGCCACATGCATGGCTTAATTTATGGGGTTATGATGCTCAGATAGATCTACTTAACAACAAAGTGGAGTTTCATCTCATACTAGGGGCACATTGTGGGAAGGGAGGGACAGAGACCTAGGGCTGCCATTTGCAGCCTCCTAATACAAACGTGTATATCATATGCAGTCCCTTTTGTAAATGTGTTAAGCTCCATCTGAAAACCAGCTGAGTTGTTTCTTGCTATATGGAAAACTGCCAGAACTTCACCTCCCTGCAGCAGGAAAGCAGCATCTTCAGATTTCCAGTCTGAATTTATCATTGGCAAGTTTATACTCATGTGTTCTTGGGCTAAGAGTTTTTTAAATCAGCTTAATTGGGAGTTTTTATGTGCTGAGCAGTTGTTCTGACATATACGGCCATCTACTCTTGCCATTGGCTGCAGCTGATAAAAACATTGCAGTCACTGTCCTCTTGGTGACCAGTCAGGAGGGAAGTGAATTGTAAGATATAAATACCAACAGTTATGAATGTTCTTTGCCAGTGGGTGTGGTGTTTTCTTTAATATCTCTTTAGCTTGTGCAAAAGAGAGATTAAGGTAGCGCTTTGTTTTTAAACAAATACAGCTGAAAGTCAGGTAACTCACATCTGTGGTTTTGCGAAGAAAAAACAGTTTTTCTAAAGGACGAATGAAGAGGAACAACTTTACTTTAAAAGTAGGAGTATTAACTGTGAGAAGAAATCATCATTATTAATCTAATGGACAGCATCCCTTGTTAGGCTGGTTGCTGTAAAGCTGCATGTAGGGCATTGATTTAAATATACTTCCCCTTCCCAGCTGGTCTTTGCCTGAAGGACACAGTAATGGGTGAGCAGAGAGCTTTTATTTCTGCCCTCAGGATGGTGATTAATGGGAGCTCTGTGAGACTTGACTGGTAGGAGCAGGGTCTATTGCCCTCTGCCATTAGAAGCCTCTGTTTCCACGCAAGGGGTGGAGCAGCACTGAAATTCTTGCTATTTTCAGGTGTGTGCTCAGCTGTGCAGCTTGTTGCCTTCCCTAGGGCTCAGCTCCATGTCAGGTCTCAGCGTTCAGTAGTTTGAAACTACTCTCAGCTAGTACTCAGAAACAGCTGGAGAATGAAGGGGTTTATTTCCACTGAGTTTGGTTATGAGAGGGAGGAATATGTTGATTAATGAATAAGAGTGATTGGGCTAATGCACAGCTAACAAAATGAAACCCAATTTCTATGAATTCTGTTGTAGATAGTTCTGTGGGACCAACCCTTGATTTTCTAGCTCAAACGTGCCTGAACTACTCTTAGGGCAGGAAGCCTCTCTGGTTACTTCCACACGCAACTGTGTGCCTGATGACATTTCACTGCGCCTTTGAACGGGTCTAGAGCTGAGACAAGATACAATTTCTCAGTTTGAAAGTCTTTACTTCCTGAGCGGTCCCACTGCCATCCCCCACTCACCAGAGCACCCGGCTCCTCAGCCCCACTCGGGCATGCCGCACACTGAGAGCAGCGGTAAAGCACGGCCCGGTCTGTCAGGTCTATCAAGCGTGCAATGCCTCAACCAGCTCCCTGTGGCTCCTCCTTCCTTGTTCCGGGGCCAAGCCTTGGAACTTCTCATGGAGCTGGGAACCATGTCCATGTCCAAGACCAGGGCCTGAGAGCCCATCCCACAAAACATTATCCTCTGCAATCCCTCCCTCCTTATGCTATTCAGACCTACTGTTTGATGAAGCTTTGTGTTGCAGTCTTAAAAGGAGTGAGGAGGACAAAGCGTACGTTTTAATCATACCATAATGTTATTTGGCCCTTCCATTTCAAGTCCTTCATCAGCATAGGTATCTGTCTGCGAAGTGCCTTTAATGCATGCTGTGTGCTGATGAGGAGGAAATATCATCCAAAATGCACGTAAGAGTGCAGCTAACTCCATGTATTAAATATCAAGAAATCCCATTACTCAGCTGGCCATTCCTCTCCTGTTTGCAAAACGGTACCTGCAGAAATTTTTTTCTGGATGTTTAATAAATGATCATCTTAAAATTTTGCAGTTGCTGCACATTGTCCGTAACAGAGCATTTAATAATGATGCTTTTTGCATCTTACTGGAAAGGCTGGGGTCATGGTTTTTATAAACACTCAGCATGTTCAACCAAGATCTTTGGAATTTCTGGTCCTTCTTTTTCATTTCTCTTTTTTTTTTTTCTGGAAGAAATATTACCTTTTAAAAAGATATTAAGTCAGCCTTCATTTTTTATTGTTGAAGCTAATCTTTCTAATTTTAAAACATCATTCTCATTAGTGTACTTCTCTTTGTTTTTTTCTAAATTTGCTGCTGCCACAGAAGAAGTGTCTGCGAGGATAGTACAAGTAGTAACAGCTGAAGCTGTAGCAGTCCTGAAAGGCGAACAGGAAAAAGAAGCCCAGCACAAAGATCAGCCTGGACCATTACCTTTAGGTAAAAAGAAAAAAGGAACGTTCCAATTATCCTCATGCCTACCAATGTGTTATATATATACACCTGTATTACAAAAATACAGCCACAGCTGTGTATTCACATAGGTTGTGGCGACAGGTAAACTGCAGCACCGTTGGATAAACGCTCGAACCATGTGATGTTAGCAGGTTCCTTGTCCCAGTTCTTCATGGCCCCATGACTGTCTCGTTCCCTGTTTGCTCTAACAGCAGTTCTCCACCTGGTTTGTGACTCCTGGGCAGCGCAGCTGTGAATTTAATTGGTGGTAGTGGTTTTGTCATTGTGTTTGGTGGGACCTGGCAGCGCTGGAGCCTCTTTGCACTCAGCCATGTACAACGTGAGAGACAAAGATGTCTGAAGAGGCAAAGGTTAGAGGAGAAGCATTTAAAAAGAAAGTGAGGTTTTGCTGATTGTGTGGTAGCTACTCCTAAAGAGGGAGGAGGAGCACCTCAATAGGAAGCAGAGAGGCAAGGGGCACACCAGGAGAGGATGGGAGAGGGATTAGCAGCTTGACAGGGTGAGGGGAGCTTGTGAGAGGAGGAGTTACCTGTGTAGAAACAAATGGCAGTTGTCCTGACTGGGAGTGGTACCATTGCCACTGACTGGTCCATTCTGTGTCCGCATCCTCCAGCTGGCACCTTTGTGAAATGTCTCTGAAATACAAGTACGTGTGTATGTATATATATATAAAAGTAAGTATACAGCCATTTGCATGTACAGTGCATCCTCCCTGCCAGAAATTTTCCACAGTAGCTTAAAACATGTGCATGAAAGGCTAGAGAAAAACCACCCTCCATCCTGAAGTAGGGCAGGGCTTGCCAGCCTGCCCCAGTGAACACACATCGTTAGCAAATCAAAATAATGCTTTGTGGTATTTTCCCCACAGACACCCTCCTTTGTTTTGTACAGTGGCTGGACCCTGCTTGGGAATGAATTAAAGTCAATGAGGAATTTAGAATATTTATTGGAAATTTGATTCCCAAGGTCTTTCTCTTCATTGAACTAATTTTGAACTGCAGCAGGGAGATGTGTTGCTTGGTAATTCCCTTCTTTACAGACTCAGTTTTACATGGAAGTCCCCAATTCTGCAAAACACTTCACACATATTTAAGCACAGATTGTTTCACTGGGGCCTACGTGAGGTAAAATGAATATTCAGTTCCATCTAGATATATAAGACATTTTAAAAATATTGTGAGAAGTGTGTCTTCTGTTAGTAACTGTTGGTGTTACAGTTCTGTGGTTGGTGACTGTTCAATAAGGGCAGGTAGAATTGCATCATGATGAAAATATAGTGAATCTGTCCCTGGACAGCACATCTTAAGGACAAATCACATAAGGGGTCTCTTCCAAACCACGCTGAAATCAATAGAAGGAGGCTTGGCAAATTCTGCTGGGACTCAGGAACTGGCCTTTCTATGCTTAGGAAGAAACTGAGGTCTGCCTGTGGAGAAGTACTGTTTAAAAGATGCATCTGTTGGAATAGACTTGTTTGGGGTTTTTTCTTTTCTGTTTTTTCTTTTCTTTTTTTTTAAAACAAACAAACAAACAAACAAACAAAACCCTAACCAACCAGCCAAAAAACCCCAAACCACACTAGTTAATCACCGGTACTGGATGTGGCCTCGATGAGAAAAAAAATTCTCCCAAGTAATTGGTATGAAGACAGATGCAGAGGTTATGCTGAGTTCATTTAAGAAGCAGCTTGTTTAGGATCAAAATAATTGAAAAGATATAACCTGGTTTCAGCATCTAGTCTCATAGCTAGGAATGAATCTAAAACCTAGCCTAAGTGCATCTAAGATTTCACTGTGCCTTGCTCAGCTGAATAACTATTAAGTCATGGCTGACATAAGTTCCCTGTACTGATGTCTTTTGTATTTAGACAAGGAATATTTCTGTGTATTCTGTGACTCTGCATCCTTCTGATGAGTTCAAGGTTAATGTTTTTTATTCATGTACTTAAGGTAAATTGAATAATTGGATGCCAATTTCCAATAGCATGAATTTATAAAATCTCTTGTGCTCAGATGCTTTATTGTTGTTGCCTTGGGTGACTAAGTGGCAATACTGATTCAAAAGATAATTTCATCCTTACTTTTTGTATTGTACTCTATGACCAGACGCTTGAAAGTAATTCATACCATCTGAAAAAAAATACTTATAACTTTTAAAATCCATGTATTCTGGAAGGATCTATCTTAAAATCTACTAGACAAAAGTCTCCACTGAGTAATTCTCTCAGCTGGGCAGAACAGGCTGATTCCAGCTTGTGTCAAGCATTGGAATGGAATTAATTGCTGTATCTCACTTTCACTGTTTGATTTCTAGCAGTCGAAGAATCAGCCAACCTGCCTCCTTCCCCGCCTCCGTCACCAGCTTCTGAGCAGACTGGAGCTCTGGAGGAAGGTAAGGGTCTCCTGGACATTGCAATGTGCAGTGTGGAGCTGTCAGCAGAGGGATGAGACATGAATCTAAAGGATGGGGGAATCAGAAAATGGAGATACTTTCTACACCTTCACATGAAAAGATAAGGCATTCCCCAGCAATAACTTCCCATCTGCAAACCAACTGCAATGCATGGATGAGGTAGACACATGTGCACAGAGGTAACTGACAGGATATGTTAAGTACATCCATATTAAGGAAGAAAAAGATGCTGCTGCTCACCGTTTTATCTGTTATATGCAATGTGAACCAGGATGTCTGCTTTCCCAATGTGGTCACCAAAGCTGTGATACAGTATGGGTCATCTTTCTTTTCTTAGAATTTGTTTTGCTGCTTTTTCAAATTAATGTTAGCTTTGGTTTTGGAATCTTAAATGCATGAAAGCAAGGAGATTCAGAGTTGGATCATTTCTTTGGTCTTCGACCTGTAATTCATGCTTCAATGCCTGCATGTATTGGGGGTTTGTATACAGAATTCAGCAGTCTAATTCTAGCCTCACAAAGCAAATTTCTGCTCTGTTCTGCACAACAAATGTTCCATTTCAGTAGCCCATCCTCACTGCATTTTGCTCCTGCTAAAATCCCTTCCAGTAAAGAACTTAAGCATTGGCTTATTTTTAAGAAGGGGCCTAAATCCCAGTGAAGTTATCACAGTGGTAAGCATGTGCATCAGTGCTTTGTTCAACAGCAGACAACTGCTGCATCAAGGCCATCAGTGTCAGGAGGCAGCAATATGTTAAATCTGAGCCGTGTCATGTGGATAAGAGAGAAGGATTCGGATTCAGAATCTCCAGGGGACTGTCAGTTGAACTCTGCCATGTCAATAGCATTTTTGTGTGTCCATTTCTTTCCTACTTGGATTTTCTTTAAGCACTTTTTCTTTCTTTTTTGTTAAAGAAGTGCATGAAAATAATTTCTTATCATCTACTGAACAAGCTTTCCAGTACAGTTGGTATTTAAACACAGAGCCTCTATTAATTTTGCAAGTGGATGCTATTTCACGTGCTAACATAGCCTGACTCTCAGATTATCAGGACATTGCAATTAGGCGTGTTCCATCCTGCGGTCATTTTTGAGATAATACAATTACAGGCTCTGTTAACAACAACATTTGTCAATCCACTTTACTGGAAATACCTACTGGATATGTTAGTAACCAACACAACACATCTGCCCATTGTGCGATTAAAAAAATAGTACAACAGTTCCTAGACTCATCACCCACAGGTAATGGCAGTCAAAACCGCTAACTGAGAAGGAAGCTAGCAGGGCATTAGCAAAGGCTTTTAGAATTGTTAGCAGGGCTTTACCACTATTTTTTAATATGTAGTTGACTTGACTATTTCAGCATATGCTTTTTGATTTTTCATATCACATTAAAGGGCTTGTTCTTCTGCTTCAGGCTGATGCCAAAGTTCTTCCATCACCCTTAGCTGAAGATTAGTTTTGCATCCTATTTCTATCAACATTATTATCTGCATATAAAGTGCCTGTATTGATTAATTGACAGGAGGTTATAGGTTGCCCCCTGAGCAAATGGAAACCACTTTGTGAGTTGTATTAACACATGAAGGTGGCAAAGCACTGTGCAACTCGAGGTTATTACAGACTACCAGACTGTGCTGTTCCCTGATGTGTACGTGACTCAACAAGTCACTTTTTCTCTCTTCTTGCATGTAGGGCTGAGTTAATATAATAGCACTTACTTACCTACCTCACAGGGGCAGTTTCAAGGACTGAAAGGTCAGTGTTTGGGATATGTTTTGGTGATTTACACAATGCCACAGTTTTTAAAACATTCACATAATTTCCTTTAACATTAGTCAAAAGAGATTTTTCCAATATAAGATTTTGATTACGGAGCTGATGGCCTGCATAAATCCTAAAAGTGTAGGATTGTAAGGGAAGTATGGAGAGAAATGGTGTGCTGAGTCATTTATGCACTGTTGGAAGCTTCTTGTTTATTTCTGGCTCCAAAACTGGAACTCAAAGTAGAGCTGGTCGATGAACAGAAGGAACTTCTTGAAAAAAACTCTCACCGGAATTACATTATGTTGCTTTTCCCCAGAATATCAGTGTTGTCAATTCAGTGCAGTTAAGAGTAGTAAAAATCTGTGTTCCACTCTGTGCTAGAAGATGTGATCCCTGTTTTCTGTGGGTAAGTTGAGCTTTTGCTGAGCTGAGTGAGCCAGACTTGTCATTTCTATTCAGGCAAAGCTCCCATTCAGAAGAGTTTGCCTCAGCAGGGTTTGACCCAGTTTTACTGTACTTGTTTAAACCTTCAGTTCCCTATACCATCTGGCTATCCATCCTCATGCACCTTTACATTGTCTGTCTGTCTTTCTGCTCAATAGAATGCAATTTATGAATTTAGCCTAATTCTACAGTTGTTAAAAGATGAGCTCTTGGTGGTGTATCTACCTCAGACCTCCTTTTTTCCCCTTCTCAGAACACTTTCTAAAGCACTTGTCAGTGTGTGTTGCATTGCTTTGAATCCAAAGGAGACTTCCTTCAGTCATAGTAGGAAGGAAATCACTGTTGTAGACGTGACAAAGGTGGATGTGGCCAGCCATGCAGCAAACACAAATTAAAAAAAAAAAAAAGGTAGAGAAGACAGAGAGGTTTGTGGGTCAAGTATATTTCGTGAGAGAAAGGAGTCAGTGGACGTAGGTTTCTTTCTTCCATTTGGCTGCAGAAAAACGTTCAGATGAGCCTTTCCCTTTTTACTGCTGCAGAAGGTAAGATAACTAATTTGCCTTATTGAAATTATTTCATTTATTTCAACTACAGTAACATTATTTTGCTCAGGAAATGAAATTTTCCATAGAACCGTCTAATCTTTTTATCACTTGTATCTGGTCATGCAGAGCTGATGCGATATTCTCTTGCCAACTTGGCTTTTTTTTTGTGCTGTGTGCCTTTTGACAATGGCCAACAATGTCTTCATGTAAAAATTTCTCTAAATGTTACAAGATAGAGGGATGGCTTTGATGGATTGTCTTCCATTTTGAAATAGGCATTTCAGATTAGGCTTTATATACCAAATAAGAATATTTTGCAAGCTGAAAGGCACTAAGTGTCCTATAAAAATGGATCTATTTACAGTGAAAATTACTTCTTGAAAGGCATTTTCAAAAGATATCTGGAAGCTGAAGCAGAATTAACCCTTGTGAGAAGTGCTTTTAATCTTGGACTTCAGAATACGTTGGTGTTTTTTCCCACGCTATGAGATGAAAAAGAACTGTCAGAAGGGACTAAAATAACAAAGAAAGGATTTTTCTTGTTGCCAAAATAAAAGCATATCTTCCTTTAAAGACATCGTTATCCTGTTAATGAAATTATCTGCACTAATTTTGAAAATATCTTTATTAAAACCAATAGACAATGTAAATCTGTAATAGCTGCAGACATAACAGCCCTGAACAATACTAGACTTATCACTCCTAATGATTTTGGACCATCACAATGATATGTATTAAGTGTTCTTGCTATTGTCAGTTACTGTAGCTTTAAGGAGCAGAGGCAGGATCTGTATTTTATTGCCTGCAATCCCTTCAGAGGCTATAAAGAAGGAATTTTCGGCTTTGTTTGCATCAGTATGGAGAAGTCCTGGGGTTTCATCTTCACTCTTGTTAATTCATTTTTACGTCTGAAGGGCCCCTGGATAAATACGACCCACAGCTGGAAGGAGAACCTCCCCTTTTGGACATTCTCCTTCTCTGTGTTCTGCTTCTGACCGTATCAGCCGTCTGTTCTTTTCTCTGCGATGTTGTGATTCCAGCAGAAGAGGTGGCAACTGCATCAGCCCTTTCCACTCTTGTCTGCAGCAACACATGGACTAGCGTGAGGGCACTCTGCAAAGAAGCAGGAAGTTGTGGTTTTGAATCTCCTCAGGTTTAGGAGGGAGATGATTCCTGGTCTCTGGCACCCTGAGACGTGTCCTCAGACCCTGTAACTAGAGTTCTGCAAACTGCGAGCCCCTACAAATCTGTCATTTAATTTTGTTGAAGGTTCTGTAGAGAAGCAGTCCTCAGATTCTGCACTGCAAGTAGATCATGATGCTTCTCTGCAACCTCGCTGCTGGCTTGTAGGACCTAGGGAAAGGTGGGAAGCTCAGGTACAATCCTGTGTTTAGCTCTTCCTATTGCAGTGCTCTGCAGAGCTTCCTACTTGGCAAAAGCAAGTTGCCAGCTTATATTTTCACACCTACTTCTTGTAAGCATGCATAAACCCCTGAATTTGGGGCTTAGATTCCACCACAGGAGGAAAGCAACTAAACTCTCAGCGGTTTAGGCACTGTTTGTGCCCTGAAATAAACTGTGAGAATGGTTCTCTTAAACTAAGTTCCATCTGTGGTATGTGTGTAGGTGCACAGAGCAAACCTTTGGTCCTGGCCAGCCTCAAGGGCTGTCATGGAGTCTTAAACATGGGTAATATTTCTTTTGCAGCGCTGTGATACATTTTGGAGCTACTAATATTGCCATAGATGAATAATTTTTCTTCCATTCTGTGGGCAATTGAGCCTGAATCCGTTTGACACTACAGCATTCTTTTCCCACGTGAAAGAAATACATGTCATTACATTACAGGACGCTTGCTGCCATGTTGCTGCATTAAGCCAAGGGTGCTTTTTTCAAAGACACAGATGTTGTCTTGTCAAAGTGTGCTATAGTAAGAAACTTAAAACTTACTGTTATTTGCCAGGAAGAAACTTAGAGCTCTTAGAGGTGGAATTGCTTTGGATAAAAATTGCTTTCCAAGACTTGGGTAGTGGTAGTTAGAGCATAATTCGTGAGCCATCTTGGTTTCAGGTCACACACAGAGATTTGTTAATACCTGTTACACTGCTTGTGTTAAAGCTTTGCTTTCTGACTCAGTGTTTTGGATCTGAGAGGAAAGTTTTGGAGGCTCTAGGGAAACTCTTTAACTGCCTGGAGAAAGGCCAGGGACACCAGACATGGG